GTTGTCAGCTGTGCCATGAGACGACTTTGATTAACACTGTCTGTTGCTTGATACAGGTCCTTCGGGTGGTTGTGTGTAAGCTCGGCGGAGTTGCCGTACCCTCGATAAGACCGGATGTTCTGCTGTATGTTCGGAGATATGTTTCGCATAAGAATTGTATACGCCATCAGTGACTGATACGTGTACTGTTGCTTGTCGTACTGCGTCCTGTGTGTTGGGTATGGAAGGGATCCGTCGAAGAATCCGAGAATCTGCGTGCCTTCCATCATTAGCTCAAACTCGAATGACCAGGTATAGAAGTCCTTTCCGTCAAAGGGTGTCGATGTCTGCAGTTTCAAAACGTGTGCGAACTGTGATTGAATCTGAAGTGTGTCCAATGTCTTCTCTTGTCCAGGTGAAGGCTGTTGGTGTGGCATGAAGCTGATGGAGCCACGTTGAGGTTCATACAGGGCAAAGGTAGGTTGCTCCTTGTTTGCGCGCGCATAGGACGAACCGTCAAGGCTCATTGGAGTAACCCCATTGTTGTTGTCGCTGTTGTTTGATTGCGCAGGTGCTGCTTGCTGGTGCTGCTCGTAGAAGGACATGAAGGAGAAGAATTTCTCCATCATGCTTGGGTCGAGGCCTGCTGCCTGGTTAGCAGGAGTTTTAGTAGACTCAGCTGCTGGTCTTGTCGCTGTGCCTCCTTCCGTCTGTAGGCCAGAGGCTGGAGGTGGAGTAGATGTAGTACCGGGGGGGGCGTTAGAAGAGCTTCTCTCCTTTTGCGTTGCCATGCTTTCTGATGTTGTAGAAGATTAAAATGAAGTTGGATCTTGCCTTTTAGCTCTCATACCATGTTGGGCTGATAAAAGCCCTTAGGATCCTTCCAAGGCTAAGACCCTGAGTAGGAATGTTGTAGTTGCGGAAGCGTTCTTAGTAAACTTGTTGAACCAACTTGCACTAGTGTGTGAGAGCAAGAGATTGATTTTAGCAAGGTAATACAAAGGCTTTTATAAGATTACAAGGAATACAAAAAGGTGCAACTAACTGTTTTGCTGTTGCGGTTCGATACAGTGATGAATCGGACAACTGCTCAATACCGAGTCAGTTGTTTGTCCTTGCTGTCACGCTGTATTTCGTCGAGTCAAACGTCAGCGACCTTTGACCTTCGCGTAACCTCCAGCTGATACTTTCTGTCAACCTCTTCGGTTGACTCACCGTTGCTCCGCTGTGATTCGCCTCGTTTGTAGTCTATTGTTTCGACACAACAGGAGCGTTAAATTGCTTGTTTCCAACATCCCCAAGATACAATTTAATCCTTTGATATGCGTGACCAGTAGTGTCGGCTTCCAACTCAGTACACCTATCTGCAGCTGTAGCATTGACTCGCGGTAGGAGGGTGGCTTCGTGACGGTCACCATTGTTGCTATGAACTGGATCTCCTCTAAGGACTCCCCAATTTTCTCCAATGTTCCGTGGTCGCACACCGAATGAGACACTCCATTATCCACTATCGCTTGGAGGCATCGCCCTTTGCGGAGCACCTTAAGGAGTAATGTTAGTTGCTGCTCCGAGTAGCTGAAAATGGTCTCATTTTTGTTTTGCCAAAGCACTATAGTGGCACGGTCATCGCACTCCCATTCGGCCTACAAGCCTGCTCAGCTTCTGGAATTTTGTGGGGAGGTGCTTCAACATGTTTTCTTCACACCCTCAAATGTTCAGAATTGTTGAAGCAGTTTACAAGGCATGGCAACATTTTTAGTTTCAAGACTTATGGCATCCCGGAAGTGTGTGTTACTCTTTTTTTGTAACACCCGAGTTCACCATTTCGTCTGCTGACTCATCTACCAAGCTCTGATTGGTATGAAATTCGGATTGACGGTCCTTTTCCGTGTTGTTCAGCTGGTCACCGAGTTTCAGGACAACCCAGCATTGGAGCAGCATGTGACAGCTGTCGAAAGTTACTGTTCCGTAGTCATGGTGCACTGTTGGCAGCATTTCCCTTGCCACCCTTTCATTGTTGCCATGCCAATGGTGCAGGGACAGAGTATGAGACAAGATGTACAGGTGGTCAATTGGGACTCTACCACCCTCCTTTTGAGAAGTGTGGTCTTCTTGGAAGCAGCTTGCAAGAGGATGCAAGTGGGAAGACAGGCTGACTCATGGTTGGCTTGACTCACTATTGATAGCCTTGAGTACAGCTCTGAACATACAAGTGTGGTTGGCTTTGCTGACCTAGATAGGACGTTTCCCATCCTTCTCTAGCCTTTCTCCCCTAGGACTCAACCTTCTCTGAGTTCCCAGGATGGTCCCAACCCGTTAAGAGTCCCCTAGGCAATGTTTTACTCACCTCTTCCTTGCATCAATGAAACTACACGTTTTCAGCAGAGCTTACGTTTTTGTTCACTGCGTAGCGCATACATCTCTGATGAAAGTGTCCAACTTATTGCGGGGGGCAAGGGGGGCAAGGGTGGTGGAGGGGACGGTGGGGGCGGCGGTGGAGGCGGTGGAGGAGGCGGAGGGGGTGGCAGTGGAGGTGGGGGTGGTGGCAGGAGTTGGGGCTTCGGTGGCGGCGGTGGGGGTGGTGGAGGCAGCGGCAGCGGTGGTGGACGCAGCGGCAGCGGTGGTGGAGGTGGCGGCGGCGGTGGTGCTGGTCGAGGTGGAGCCGCGCAGCGTGGAGGCTTTGGTGGTAGCCAACGCTAGCAGCAGCCGCGTTCCCGTGAGACCCCGTCGGCCCAGCAGCTTCGTGAGTGGTACGCTGGGCGTGGGAAGTCTGGGGGTGTTGGTCAATGCACTTACGTTCTTCGCACCGGCGAGCGCCGTGGGGAGACATGCGGGCTGCCACACACTACGCAGCGCTGCTTCGGTCGCCTGACTGACGCCTGGCGCGCCCAGTGTCCTGACGCTGTTGAGCTCCCTCGCTGGGGTGATCTGCTTAAGCAGAATGTTGCTATCTTTGATCTTGATTTCGATGCTATCCATGCTGCCATATATGCTGCGATTGATAGTGCTGAGGGTGACTGTTACCTGTGTGTTCCGCCCGACCTGGGCATTGAGGCTGCTGCTCTAGGTGCTAGTGAGTCTACTGCTCCAGGTACTGGTGAGTCTGCTGCTCCAGGTGCTGGTGAGTCTGCTCTCTCTGGTACTGCACCTACTGAGGCCTTACACACTTTCACACTTGACTCTGGTGCTTCGCGCTCCTTCTTTCGCGACAGCACCACCCTCACGCCGCTCAGTCGGCCTGTCGCAGTCTCCCTGGCTAACCCCTCTAGGGGCCCAGTCCTTGTGCACTCTTCCACAATTCTACCGTGTCCTGCGGCCCCGTCGGGCTTGCTGTCGGGACTCTACCTCCCCTCGTTCTCTACGAACTTGGTGAGTGGAGCTGACCTCCAGGACGTTTGGGTTGACCAGTTCACCCCTGGAGGTCAGCGTGTGACCCACTGCACTTGCTCTCGGACGGGCCACCACCTGGCCACGTTCACCCGTCGGCCTGGGTCGAGTCTGTACACACTGATTATTGCGTCTCCTCTGGTTACTGCGTCTAGTCAGGTAGCCGCGTCTGGTCAGGTGTCTGCTGCCGCGTCCAGGTCTAGTCCAGCGTCTGCCCCCTGCTCGTGTCGTCCTCTGTCACACGAGACTCTCCTTTGGCACCACCACCTTGGTCACCCCTTTCTGCCTCGTCTTCGAGGTATGGCCTCCCGTACCCTTGTCTCTGGTCTCCCCCGGTCCCTCCCTCCCCTTCCTCTGGGGCCCACCCCTACCTGTGTTCCTTGTGTCGAGGGCCGGCAGCGCGCCGCTCCTCACTCCTCCGAGTTCCCTCCGACGGAGGCTCCCCTGCAGACTCTCCACATGAACGTGTGGGGCCCAGCCCGCGTCCGTGGACAGGGTCACGAGCGTTACTTCCTGCTGGTCGTTGACGACTACTCGCGTTACACCAGAGTCTTCCCCTTGCGCCGCAAGGGTGAAGTCACTGAGGTGTTGATCGACTGGATCCGCGGTGCCTGTCGCCAGCTCAGCGAGAGTTTAGGCTCGGACCTTCCTGTTCTGCGTCTGCACTCAGACAAAGGTGGTGAGTTTTCCTCTGACCTTCTGAGGGCTTTCTGTCGTGCGGAGGGCATCTGCCAGATGTTCACGCTTCCAGCCTCCCCACAGGAAAATGGGATTGCTGAACGGCGCATTGGTATGGTCATGGACGTCTCTCGTACGTCCATGATCCATGCGGCTGCTCTCCATTTTCTGTGGCCGTTCGCGGTTCAGTACGCTGCGCATCAGATCAACCTTCAGCCTCGTGTCTCCTTGCCGGAGACCACACCTACTCTGCGGTGGACGGGGAAGGTTGGCGATGCGTCCGTGTTCCGTGTCTGTGGATCTCGAGCTTTTGTCCGCGATACTTCAGCGGACAAGCTGTCCTCCCGTGCCGTTCCCTGCGTCTTCCTTGGCTTCCCCCCTGACGCACCCGGGTGGCAGTTCTACCACCCCACCTCGCGTCGTGTTCTGTCCTCTCAGGACGTCACGTTTGACGAGTCGGTGTCTTATTACCGTCTCTTTCCCTACCGCACTGCCTCTCTCCCCCCCCCCGCCACTCTTCCTAGCACCAGGTACTCCTCCGGTAGACCCCCTCCCCACTCAGGGTCCTGCCCCCTCAGGTGTGTCCCAGGTAGACCCTGCCGAGCCGGTCGAGGTACCTGTCGACTCAGGTGGTGCTAGGGGTGCTGAGCCTGGGGTTTCTGTGTCTGAGGGTGCGTTGCCTGGGGGTGCTGAGCCTGGGCTTGTGGAGCCTGGGGGTGATGAGCCTGGGGGTGCTGAGTCTGGGAGTGCTGAGCCTGCGGGTGCTGAGCCTGAGCGTGCTGCGTCTGGAGGTCCTCCGGGTGTGTTGTTGTGGCGGGAGCCCCTCTCTCCGCAGCAGCTTTGTGAGTGGTACTCTCGGCGCTGTCGAGGTGCTGCTGATGCTGCTGGTGCTGGTGGTGCTGCTGGAGGTGCTGGATGTGCTGCTGGTGCTAGAGCTGCTTGAGGTGCTTCTGGAGCTGCTGGAGGTGCTGCTGGTGCTGCTGGTGCTGCTGGTGCTGGAGGTGCTGCTGGAGCTGCTGGAGGTGCTGCTGGTGCTGGAGCTGCTGGAGGTGCATCTGGAGCTGCTGGAGGTGCTGCTGGTACTGGAGCTGCTGGAGGTACTGGTGTTGTTGGAGGTCCTACTGGTGTTGGAGCTGCTAGAGGTACTGGAGCGGCTGGTCCTGGAGGTGCTCGTACTGGAGGCACTGGAGCTGCTGGGGCTGGTGGTGCTGCAGGAGTTGGAGCTGCAGGTGCTGGAGCTGTTGCTACTGGAGGTTCTTCTGGAGCTGGAGCTGCTGGAGGTACTGGAGCTGGTGGTGCTGCGGGAGTTGTAGCTGGCGACCCTGGAACTGAGGGTACTGGTGCAGTCTCTGCTGTTTCTGGAGGCGCTGCGCGGCCACGGCCGTACTACGTTCCGCTCCTTCAGCAGGTTCTTGGTCTCCCGCCTTCTCCAGGTCCTACTCCTCCTTTACTGAGTCCACCGCCAGTCCAGTCACAGTCGCAGTCACCGCCGACCTCTCCACTGCCTTGTCCTTCTTACTCTGGAACGACTAGAGGTCTTACGGAGCGTCGTGAGCCTGAGTCGCGTCCTGTGTCGCCTGAGTCTCGTCCTGCGTCACCTGAGTCTCGTTCTGCATTGCCTGTCCGCACTGTTCGCGCTGGTCGTCGTGTTTCGCGTCCGCGTCCTCCTCCTATCCCTGGCACTCACTCTATGACACTGCGTCCTTCCACTGCTCCACAGCGTGTCCCTCTGCCGTCTCCCCCTGCGTCCTCTCTTCCTGACGGTCTGGACCCGGAGTCTGACTCCCTTCGTGCTGCTAGTCCTATTCTCACGCGCTTTCTGGCCTCTGCTGTCACTGACCCTTTGTTTGAGTCCACTGCTGCGTCTGTTCTCGTTGCTGAGCTTGTTGACTTTGCTGCAGCCTGTCGCCTAGACTTTGCCACTAGTCTTGTTGCTGAGTCTGCGTCTGCGTCTGTCTGTCCTCCGTCCGTCGGGGGTGAGTGTGCTCTTAGCACAGATGTTCTTGAGGACAGACAGGAGGAGTTTGAGTGCTTTGCCGTAGCTGTACCTCATCTCGTGTCCATGCTGCTTGCCCCTGAGGGAGACCCGGATGCACCAGACATCCCGACCCCGCGCTCTTACGCAGAGGCGATAGCGGGTCCCTACTCCTCTCAGTGGCAGGCAGCCATGGACGCCGAGATGGCTTCCTAGAAGTCCATAGGCACCTACGTCGACGAGGTTCCCCCGCCTAGGGCGAACATCGTCAGTGGCATGTGATCTTCAGGGTGAAGCGGCCGCCGGGTTCTCCGCCTGTCTTCAAGGCGCGTTACGTTGCACGTGGCTTCAGTCAGCGACAGGGTGTTGACTTGTTCCAGACCTTCTCCCCTACCCCAAAAAAGACCACTCTTCGGGTACTGCTGTGTTGGGTGCAAATTCACATTGCACGACATCCTGCTATCTGTTTGTACTAATATGCGTGTGCGAATGCATTTGGGTGTGAATGGATTGATAGTGTGTTTGTTTGCTTTCGAAATTTTTGCTTGATGCATTTGCAAGTAGTCGCGCAAAGTGCGCTTCGGCACAACATTGTACGCGCTATGAACAGTGCAAGCAGAAAGGACGAGCTCGCAAAGGAACCCAAGATGGAAGCTTTGCAGTTCGGTTGAATTGATTGCGCAGATTCAGTTATATCCAACTCGAAATTGTACTGTTTTGTTTGGTTGACTATACTGTAGCAGGGCAGGCACTATAGGGGTACAATTTAGGTGAAGGTTGGATGTTGTTTGTCTGTATCTGCATGCTACAGGGCCAGGGGAAACCAGCGGAACCAGCATTTGGCTGGTTGGGCAAAGACAAAACAGGTTCTGTTTTTAGGACCTGAACCTGGTTGTTGTTTTCCCAGGTTGGAAAAACAGAACCAGAGGTTGTTTACCAACCTACCACCTGCTGTTTTGTCCAGCCAGGTTGGTTCTATTGCTTGTAATTATTTGGGATCATCCCTGGTTGTTCCCAGGTTGATTCCAAAGGTCCTTGCTAGCTAGAACCATATATTCCTTCTCTGTTTGTACCTGAATATATTCAAATTGATTCAAGCGATTTCCGTCCTTGCTGGAATTTCATTTCTACGCGGTGCGACGGCAGAATGCTGCCAAGTCAACACTAGTACGCTAGCACTACGACACTAGGCCAACGCTGTCCAATTCGTAACTCTGCAATGGCAGAACTTTTCGCGAGGCAACTTGGCTCTTTTGAAAGCTCTTAGAGTGAGCTTCGATATCCGAGTTCTCAGCTTAATCTTATCGACGGTCTGCACGGCACGTTGCGCGACGTTCAAGGTACTCTTGCTGTTTTGACTAGGTCCCTCTTGATCCCTGTCTCTACAAACTCGGACCCGAGGATAGGGGCTGGTCTTGTACCAAGCACCCAGGGACCCTTGGAGGTGACCCCGAGGAGAGGTTTTAAGTTGGATAACATCTTAATAGCCTGAGTTTATTAGGCCCTTACACCAACATGCTGCACGTTGCCGCTCGGCGTGACTACGAGCTCCACTCACTTGACTTCAGCACAGCCTTCCTACAGGGCAGCCTGCACGAGGAGATCTGGCTGCGCCGCCCACCTGGCTTCACTGGGTCGTTTCCTGCTGGTACCCAGTGGAGCCTCCGGCGGCCAGTCTACGGTCTCCGCCAGGCACTCTGTGAGTGGCACGACACACTGAAGACGACTCTTGCTGCTCTTGGTTTTGCTCCTTCCACTGCTGACCCGTCGCTGTTTTTACACACTGACATCACTCTGCCGCCGTTCTACGTTCTCGTGTACGTAGACGACTTGGTCTTTGCTACTGCTGACACTGAGGCACTCGCCCACGTGAAGTCCGAGCTGCAGAAGAGACACACGTGCACAGACCTGGGTGAGCTGACAAGCTATCTTGGCTTGCGGATCACCTGGGACAGAGCACAGCGCACCATTACCTTGACTCAGTCACACATGGTGCAGCAGGTCCTTCAGCGCTTCGGCTTCACGTACTCCTCGCCACAGTCCACTCCTCTAGTTACCGGTCACTCGCTCTCAGCTCCACCTTCGGACGAGTCCGTAGAGCCGAGTGGCCCGTATCCAGAGCTTGTGGGCTGCCTCATGTACCTGATGACATGCACACGACCTGACCTCGCATATCCTCTCAGCCTTCTGGCTCGCTACGTGGCTCCCGGTAGGCACCGAAAGGTGCACTGGGATGCTGCGAAGAGGGTGTTGCGCTACTTGTGCAGTACGTCGGACATGGGGCTCGTGCTTGGAGGACGGGCTCAAGTTGTCCTCACTGGTCACGCAGACGCCTCCTGGGTTGACGACTTTGCTACGCAGCGGTCGTCACAGGGTTACACCTTCAGCCTTGGCTCCGGTTCTGTCTCTTGGCGGTCTACCCACTCGTCTTCTGTTCTCAGCTCCAGTTGTGAGGCTGAGATCTACGCTGGGGCCATGGCTGCACAGGAGTTACGCTGGCTCACCTACCTGCTCACCAACTTGGGAGGGGCGCCTCGTTCTCCTCCAGTTTTGTACGTCGACAACAAGGCCATGCTTGCTTTGTGTCAGGAGCACAAACTGGAGCACAGAACGAAGCACATTGCTCTGCGCTACTTCCTTGCTCGAGAGTTGCAGCAGCGTGGCCAGCTTCGTCTTGCTTACGTGGCCACTCGGGCCAGCACTGCTGATGTTTTCACTAAGGCACTTGCCTTGTGATCATCAGCGTTTCTGTACTGTCCTAAGCCTTGTACCTACTGTGCCTCACTTGCTTATTTCTTGAATCTGCTTGTACTGTACTCTATATACATATACCTGCATGCTTACACTTGCTAGGTTGTATTCACTGTATTGTTCTCCTTTATATAACTCTGCATGTGAACTGGCCTTGTGGCCATTTGCTTGTGCTCAGACTGCGTGGTGACTTTGTGATCCACCCTGGGCTTGCTTTGCCTTTCTTGACTGGTCTTGTGACCTCTTGTTCTCCCCCACTTTGCCTATGGGAATGTGTCAAAGATATATGCTATAGTCTTTCTAGGCTGTAGTGGGGTAGTTCTTATAGGGTACAACACTTTTAGGTTTCCTACTTGTACCCACCTACTTGCTAGTTCAGTCATTCATTCGGTCAATATTCTAACAGCAACTCCCCTGCCAGCAGAATTCAAGCTTGTGAAGGCTGCAGAGGATGAAGGGGTTGAAGCCGAGGAGCAGCAGCAATTTCAGTCCTTGTAGGTTGGATGTTGTTTGTTTGTAGTGTAGCAATTTCAGCCATTTATAGTGTAGCAAGGCAGGCAACATAAGGGTACAATTAGTTGAAGGTTGGATGTTGTTTGTCTGTATCTACGTGCTAGAGGGCCAGGAGAAACCAGTGGAACATTTGGTTGGTTGGGCAAAGACAAAACAGGTTCTGTTTTTAGGACCTGAACCTGGTTGTTGTTTTCCCAGGTTGGAAAAACAGAACCAGAGGTTGTTTAGCAACCTACCACCTGCTGTTTTGTCCAGCCAAGTTGGTTCTGTTACTTGGAATTATTTGGGATCATCCCTGGTTGTTCCCAGGTTGATTCCCAAGGTCTTTGTTAGCTAGAACTATTTATTCCTTCTCTGTTTGTACCTAGATATAGTGAATTTGATTCAAACGAATTCCTTCCTTTCTGGAATTTCATCTCTACGCGGTGCGACGGCAGAATGCTACCCAAGTCAACGCTAGTACGCTAGCACTACGTTGCTAGGCAAACTCTGTCTGAGCCATAACTCCATAATGGCATATCTTTTCGCGATGCAACTTGGCTTATTTTAAAGCTATTGGAGCGAGCTTCGATATAGCAAAATTATTTGCTTGATTCGATTGACAATCTGCACGGATCGTTGTGCGACGGACACGGTACTCTCGTTATTCTGGCTAAGTTATTCTTGGTCCTTCTCTCTACAAACTCGGACCCGAGGATAGGGGCTGGTCTTGTACCAAGCACCCAAGGACCCTTGGAGGTGACCCCGAGGAAAGGTATTAAGTTTGATTTGGTCTTAATAGCTTGAGTTTATTAGGCCCTTACACCAACAGATGGAACTAAAGATAAGTGTTTCTTACCCATGTAGATGGTACCAACATTAGGTGCGTTACTTACCCATGTAGATGGTACTATGAGAATTGCATTTCTTACCCATGTTGATGGTACTAAATGTGTGTATACTGTCAACGGGAGCTGTATGTTGACCCGTCCTCTCTTGGGTGGAGCCGACTTTGTGATCGGGTGTGCGGGAGGTGCAGCTGACCTGCAGCAGTGGGCGACGCCGACTTGGGCGAGCTGGTCGACGGGTTTGGTCTGTCAACGAGAGTTGGGCATTGGCCCCGTCCTCGCTTGGGCGGAGCCGACTTCATGGTCAGGTGTGGGGGAGATGCAGCCGACTTGCAGCTGTGGGCAACGCGGACTTCGGCGAGCTGGTCGATGGGCTAGGTCGATCTGCACAGTTCCACTGCGAAGCCTCCGAATTTGGACGCCAACGGTCGTTTCAACCTGGTGGTCGACGATGGGATATGTCGACCTTGTAGGGGCGTCGCCTTAGTGATGCCGACCAGGGGAAGCCGGCTTGGTGTTGTTGGCTGACAGCTGGGCTGGTCGACCTGGAGCTGGTTGACCAGAGATGTGGTCGACTTGGTATGCTCGACCGGTGGTAGTCGTCGACCTAGGCGGTCGTCGGGCACAAGGAGAAGCTGCTGGTTGACGTGGTTTCTGGTCGACCAGGTTACCTGGGCGACGGGGTTCTGCGGAGGAGCGCGAAAGTCGTCCTGGTGGCTCTGGCAAAGCCGACCTCAGTGGTGGTATTCCGAGATCAACGTGGCTGATCAGGTGCAGTCACCAGGACGTGGACGACTTGGCGTCTGCGCTGTGCAGGTGACGGGGCAGAGCACGCCAACTTGTTGCGGGCACCTGTGAAGCAGGTGCAATGCTATCCTGCAGGTGCAATGCTGTACAGCCGTCTTGCTGTAGCATTGGCACGCCTCGACTTGCAACATTGGCAGGTCGCCACCTTGCACAGCTGGAGTGCGATTGACCTTGCTGCGCTAGAACGCGGTCAACCATGTTGTGTTGGAGGTCAACCTGCATGCTTGCTAGCATCTGATGTAGTCAATCTTGCCTTGCCTTGTTCAGCCAGTGTTGTGAACTTTTGCTAGTGAAACTCTTGCCGAACTTCCCTGTAAA